TTGTTGGGCACGGAGTGAGGTGAGTGCTCTGTCCTGTCGGACCCTCGTGTCTGCGGCCGCGCCCAGCCGTCTTGTCGTGCTCTTGCTTAGAGTTTATTTAAAAAAAAAAAAAAAAAAAAAGTTGTTTCTTAAACATGCTGTTTATCTTGCTGCAGAATAATAAATATTGTGAACTTGGGGGAAAAAACTTTTCCGTGCCTGTTCTTGACCATCACCTGTATAATTTCCTGTGGCCCTCTACTGGGTTATGGTCACACATATGAATAGCATGTGTACGTGTAACCAATCAGATCATACATCCCACAGTTTCCACTAATCAGGTGCTGCTGTGAGGCACAGAAAGCTAGCCGGCAAGTCAATATTACGAACAACCTCAAGACAAGAAATACAACTGCTCACGTCTTAGACCCGTGGCAAATTTTTAACTAGCTATTGTAAGATGGCGCAGGCTGCTGTTAACACTGCTTACCTTGTACCATGACAGAAGAAAACATTGAACTCAAAACTACGGTGTCCCACAGTGGCCAAACATCACTAAAACCGGGATTCATCTGGTAAAAAAACATCGAAACTGCGATACCCAGTGGCTAGGCAACTGCCCTACACATGCATAACAATGTATACATGTATATACAGTACATGCCTGATAGTATGCAAGTACTTAATACCAGTATATTTGTATGGCCAATTGAAGTATTAAGTTTAGGCCTAGCAGCTTCTCATAGAATTGACTAAAACTGAGTTACACACATTGATATTGTGGATAATTTGCTCAAAAATATGTTTTCTTCAAAATATAATTTGTGTTTGCAAAGTGTATTTGTCTTTGCACAAAAAGTCACACTGTGCCCTCAGGAATGAGGCACAAAAACAACTCAATACTTTTACAATAATTATTATAAATGTATGCTTAGAATATAAACTACAATCATGGTTTCCCTTTTACTGATATTCAGTTTGTGATATTCAAACGTTTGTGTTTGCCTATTTTACATTCAGCATCAAGAAATTAACATTTTCTCGAACCAGTATGCAATGGTGCAAATGTCTGCCAAATTAGTGATGAATAAAATTAGGTGGACCCAAATGACTTCGAGTAAACCTTTAGTTTTGGGGGCCCATGCATTTGCCCAGGTGGTAATCCAGTTTTTGCTGTATCTGGTGTTTAATTGCTGGGAAACTTTTTTTTTCTTATTGTATCTGACATGGCTCCGCCCCTTGGATAACGTCACATCTCATTAACTCGGGTATTATGAAAAATCCCAGCTCTCTCATTCATCACGTAGTCCTTCCTTTACATTCCGAAGTCCGATTTTTCCGACAGCACTTTAAAGCAGCATACGTTGGAAGTTAAGCGGCACCCAGTCGCTCAGAGCAAACCAGCAAACTAACCTGCGGAGTAAACAAAGCAAAAGTAAACAAATATGAAACGTCCCGGAAATGTAATAACAGCGTTTCTAACAACATGTACTCTTCTGCTTTGCCTGTGTTCAGTCAGAGGTAAGTTTGTTTTTTTAAACCACTGACACGTATCAAATCAGATTAATCGCGTTCATATAGAACTGTTGTCTGTTTATGTTGTCGACTTCTCAACGGTTTCTAAGTCTATAACAAGCCATTTTATCCACAAAGGGACTTTGGCACTGAACTATGCCACCTCGTCTTCTTTTCCATGACATGTTCTTCCCCGTTTCCCTTTACGAGGTTAGTTCAGTCTAAAGTAATGAAACCAGTTCATAGGCCTGCTACTTTTACTGACACCTAGGGATCCGGTTTTGTGAGTCGTACTGTGTCGAGGACCCTTGGTGAGGTGGGAAAAGTGAGGGGGTTTAATGAATGACAAAGGGAGAGATCTGCAACAGGTTGGCCATTCAAATGAAACACGTCTCTCTATGCTGAATGCCTGTAACTTAATAATGACAGTCTTTAACATTTTCCATCAACAAAAGTGACTTCAATATTCAGGATTCAGCCGTATACAATTTTTCCTAACAGCAGTCAATATGTAATTTGTACATCCTATATCCCAAGATACCAGCTCCTTATTGTCATGCTATAATTGCTGATTAAATGAGAGACTACTCTGTTATTACAAGGTTCTGTTTTACTCAGTGGTTATACTGAAGAAATGTTAATTGCAGTACTAAACTATTCTTTTGTATGTTTTTTTCTCTCTTTTCTTGCGTGCACCACCCACAGTGAAGAGTAATTTGTGAAATTTACATTTACATTTCTGGACACTCTTGAAAACAAGATGACGCATTGCAAAGGGCTCATCCTGTTAAAATAATTGATATTGTATTTTTAGGTTATATTGTTATATTATTGTTGATGTAAACACCTCTCTGGCCACATGAAGAGATGGTGCAGATGGAGAGGAAAATAACACCATATGTGATCTTGTCTGGAGCCAACATGAACCAGCTGTCCACTCATCCAACTTCAGTTTGACCTGGAACATGTGCTGCCAGCCAGGTGCATTAAAATCCTGCGAGTGAAATCCAGAGTGACTGTCTTTTATGTGGCTGCTGTTCCTCTGCTGCTATGATGTTTGTATACATTCAGTGCCTATTGCTTTGCTCATTACCCACCTGTCACTCAGGTGTGCTGTGTCCTGAGCCACTCCTGAGCTGCTGCACTGTCATGTTGTGTAACTGCTCATTCCTGAAAGAGCTGCATGCTTCTTTGCAACCTGGCTAATCCTCCAAGCTCTTAATCCAGCACATAGACATGTTCTGTTGTCACTGTTGGCTGCATTTGCTATTTGTTTATGATTTTGTTTACACCTTTAGATTTTCCAGTATAATCAGTGGCATAGAGCTGAAAGGTTAGTTGATGGATCACTATTGGGTGGATTACTATTTTGATAAAAGATTAATTGAAAAGGCCTTTTTCAAGCATGAATTCAAAACTTTCCGTAGCTCCAGCCTCTAAATTCTGAGGATTTGCTGCTTTTCTTTGTCTTATGTGATAACACGTTGAATATCTTTGATTTGTGGACTGTTTGTCAGACAAAAAAATTTGTTGACTTGAGTCACTTTTCCTTTCGTTTCCATTCAATAGACCAAGTGATTAATAGATAATGAAAATAATTATTAGTTGCAGCCCTGTTTTCAGTATCTATATGCAATAGGACACACTAACTGTCCGTATGTCACTACTGCACAAGTATAGAGCTGAAAAAGACAAAGAAAAGTATTTATGATATATTAAATTATTACAACTTCCATTCCAACATTCATTGACATTGTTTTCACATTAAACTCCACTGTGACCACATCAAATTTCTTCTTCTCTTCTGAAACACATCACTTCAGTAGCAAAGCCAGTCTGTCCAAGTGGGCTGACAACAACTGTCAGATGTGTTGTCGCATGAAAACAGTTTGAGCGTGTTGACAAAATCTGCAAAATTATCGTGCTCACACACTCAGTATCACATTCCTACACCTCATGAATGTGGTGGCACACTTTCCAAAAAGATTAGTTCTTCAGTGTTCACTAATTTCCTGCAGATTTTTACCTCAATGCGCCCAAAGAAGATGACAACAAAGTCTAGTTAGTACTTGAATGATAACTTTGACCTGATGAGTCAACAGACTGATTAAATTGATGTTTTGGATTTCTGAGTTAAAGGTTTTGTGTGACTCATGAATCTGTTCCCTGCCGCTCCCACTTGAGGTCTTTGCCTGGTCCAGCCAGGATCTGTGACTCAGCACTGCAGCACCGCTGTTTTTACAACCCTCAGGCCAGACACTCTAGCAATGAGAGGAAACACAGTGAATCCCTCACTTTCCCCTCCCAGTACACATTATGATGCATTAAAACACAGTGAGCACTAAGAAGAGCTCTCATAATGCCACACATGTATCCCAAACTCAACTCACTTTGTGATATTCCACTTTGATATTAAGGGGGCACTCAACCAGTTTTACACATTGTGTTACTTTGACTTTTCACAGAGCAAGCTATTCAACCAGTGAGACTGTCATGAGAGTTATTTTGGCTTGGGCTTGGAGACGTCAGGTTTTTAGCATGGAAGTGCAATACTTCCATAACACCTTTAAATGTTTTTCAGGGCCTGTATTTACCAAACTTACACTTGAATCTACTCTTAATCAACCAGGACACATCTGGAGTCCAAAATACTTACCCAGGAATGATTTTATGATGAGCTGTTGTAACTTACTCATTGCTTCACCCAGGCTTACCTTATTTTCTTTTTCTTAACATACTGAGTGGGAGCTTGCTCTGTTCAGTTGTGGCTTAAACTTGTTGGTGGAGAAAGCAGCATCAGTAACACAAAAAAATAGACCAAGAGTTTCCTTATTCAAGAAATATCATGTGTTGTAGCTGCAACGAATTCTCATTTACTGCAGCTTCTGGCAGCAGAGAATTTTGTATGTCTGGTTTCCGCTGCAACAAGTTAAACACACCAAAGTCGTACAACTGACTGCGTGAAAATGTGAGATGCGCAGCTGTATATATAGTTGCTGAAGTGACTCCATACCTTACACTCCCTGATTTTCTCCCTCAATCTTATATACTCAGGCGACTACTGTGAGGTGAATCTTTGCCACAATGGAGGAACATGTGTGACAGGTGTAGGAGAGGATCCCTTCATCTGCATCTGTGCGGATGGCTTTGGCGGAGACACCTGCAACCTGACAGAGACAGGTAGGGAGAAGAGGAGTTTTTTGGGGTTTGGGACAAAAAAAGCATCATCAATCATGTGTTAAAACTGATCCTTCTTCCTTGTCTCAGGACCCTGCAGCCCTAACCCCTGTAAAAACGATGGGGTGTGTGAGGTCATCACTCCGACCCGACGAGGAGATGTTTTCAACGAGTACATCTGCAAGTGCCAGCCCAGCTTCGAGGGAGCGCACTGCCAGATCAGTAAGATACTTGTGTCTGCGATTAATTACCTTGAGCTGCCCTTTCTGCACCTGTACACATTTACATTTACATTTACTCTTCAGAAATATCTTTGAATTTTAGTCTCTGTTGAGTGCACACCTTTATACATGTCAGTTTCTCTGGAGATGAGTGTTGACATGAAGCATTTATCATTAAGAAAAGATTTTGTGGCCTAAATAAAAAGCAGAGCATTTAGATAATAGGCGTAGGAACTAATGATAATACTGATGGATTCTAACACAGGAAAAAGGAAGCAAATAGGAGACAGTAATACAAATAGTATTGGGCTTAACTCTCAGCAAATTTCTCTATAAAGGTGAACATGAGCTTTTTCCATGCTGTCACCGCATCAGCGGGGGAAGAGATGTGCAGGCAGCTCAGTAGTTTCATGAAAGGCTCTCATTCAAGGGGCTCTGTGGTCACTCTTTTTGGCTAATTAGTAAAACACCACTCCAAGTCTCTTAGCATGCAGACGCCTTCCACACAGGTTCACCACTGAATCTGTTTGTGCTTAAGCTTGACCAAATCAGATGAAGAATTTGATAATAATGAATTCCATCATATCCTCTTAATATAATAAATTGCTAAAATATCTTTGAATTTTTGCAGATGTTTTGGATTATTAGTAGAAGGATGACTTCAAAGAATTAGAAAAGTAAGGGAATAGAGGATTATATTCCACAAATGTCGTCATCAAAATCATCTGGAGTAAAAAAAAAAAAAAGTGTTTCTGATGTAGCACTGACACCTGTAATTAAGAAGTGTAAACAACTATAAGCTTTGTGTGTATGACAGCTGAGAGCAAAACACATACTGATGTAAAAGATAGAGTCATAGTTTGAAAATATAACTTTCATTCATCTTTGTGAATTAACAGCTCACCCTCCCAAAGCCCAAAGTCTGAACACCAATTGTAGTGTTTGTGCAGAGTGGTTGTCCGCTCCCAGATATTTTCTAACGGTGATTCAGTGAGACGTCATAGGCTGGACAGGTATGGAGATGCCTGAATGGGGTGGAACCTGTGCCTTATACTGTAGACATTAGACATAAATTCATAGTTGAAACTAATGATGTTATAGTGGTTAAATAGTATTTCAGAGGATATCCAGCTTATAGCAATAGTTGCATTTCATCTGCAAGAAACGCTAGAAACAATGAAAAAAATTGCATTTTCGAGTGGAACCTTTAAATTAAAATTCAGGGTACCACATTTCTTTAATTCATGCCTACTTGGAAAGAATATCATGTCAACATTTCTACATAAACATGAGAAAAATAGTCACAGTCAACAAAACAAATTGTTCTGTACAGCCAGCACATTGCAGGCTGGATTTAAAGAGCAAATCAGTAAGGCTGTTTCACAATCTGTCTCTTGGTAGGATCACTTGTTTCTCAATGTTATTAGCCTTGCTGTGCCAGTGTTGTCACTGCCATACAGGCATGTGTTTCTGAGTTGTGAGCAATCCTCTTAGTGTTAATGGGAATAAGAATTAAACAGTCCCATGTGGCATTACGTCAACCTGTCATATGCTTTAGTTCTGAGGTCTGGTTTCTTAAGGTTAGTGAGACAGGTGAAATGAGTCTTTTGTATTGACATTTTCGGTTTTTAAAAAAATTCTAAATATTTTTAATGGCAGTAGAAAATATTCAAATGAAAAAAATGAAGCAGGTTAGACTATGTGTAACAACTTCCTATATAAATCAAAACAGATGCGAAGGTGACATGAACAGACACCAACAGTAGCTTTGCGTTACACCCCTCATACGAACAGAGGGGTCCAGAATTCTGAGACCACTTTCCTATTCACTTGAATGATAGTATGATTCATTGATAGATTCAGTTGCCTGTGATTCACTAGCTGGCTGCAATGAGGACTCTTCTCAATGCATATGTTAGGGTTAGGGAAACATAAACACACATTAACATTCAGTTAAAACCAATAATTCCCTGAAAGAACTATTGTTATTGACCAGATTATAATGTATATATGCAAAGACTATCATTACTGAGGGATCTACATGCCGGTCCAGCAGTTTTCTGTCTCATCAGCAAGTCACTTGCAGTCACCTGGCATCCCTCAAAAACTGAAAAACCCAGTTGCACATAGAAAAAGGTTCTGATGGTGAGAACTGTTATGTTGTTTGGATGGTATATTGTTTGGTCTAACGTCTGAGAAGTGTTTGAATCATCATTTTCCATGAAAATATTTAGGTCCTTTTTGAAGATGATTGAAAAGAGTAAAATGTGCTGCTGTTGAGTTAAAATTATGTGTTTATCTCTCTGCTCTAGATAAAACACACCGTGCAAGTGTGCCACCTTGTGGAGTGTAGAGAGTGTTACGTGAGCTGTGTTAGAAGTGTACTCAGCTGTCTGTCAGAATTATTAATCAAACTAAAATGCACCCTTCAGACCCCATTTGTTTGACAGTATATTAACAGTTGAAATGAATGAAACAGATAAAACTGGCTTCATGGCCATTGCTGGGTTTCCAGGTAAAATGTGTGCTATATGTAGAATTACCCTCCTTTGCCTGTTCACATTCATTAAGTCATGACACAAAATACAATTATCAATCGTGATCTTTGACCCATAACCTACTGTGCCCTTTAAACTGGTTGTCCCGTCTCCTCAGTGTTGCCCTCGGGGGCATTTCTGTCATCGCATTAGATTTAAGAGAAACTACTTTTCACCAACTGTATGTTGGAGTCACAGTGAGGCTATTGTGGCCATCCACCTGTCTCAGCCCCGCCTCTGTTCTCTCTCTGAGTCTGACTGAGCAGGTGTGCACCATATCTGGCCATCAGCTTTATTTGAAATAGTTAATTCTCAATAAATCTAAAGTTTAAGTTTAAAGTTTAAGGAGTTAAAAATAATGAGGTGTTTTGTTTTTCAGATGTGAATGACTGTGCCAGCCAGCCTTGTAAGAATGGAGGGGCATGCAGAGATCTTGACGGAGACTACACCTGCCAGTGCACCTCACCATATGTTGGAAAGCAGTGTCAGCTACGTATGTTCACTTACTCTGATACATGTTCATTCACTTGTCTTTTAATGTACTGTTTCCATTGCACAAGTGGCCAGTTTTGACGGATGTACTTCCTCCTATATGTACTTTTACTATCTACTATCCTTATAACCATTTTAAAATGTCAAAGAACATGTTTCTGGAAGTGGCCATTTCCAGAGTATGTCTCTATTCAATATTATAATCATTAGTGCAAAGAGGAGTATTTATAGTATTTAAGTACTTAGTATTTTACTGTACTGTACTAAAGCATAAGTAAAAGTCATGGTGTATAAGCTAACTTACGATACAAATTAAATGTTCCTCAGTTAATTTTAAATAAAGAGAACATCACTGTATTTGACTTCTTACAATTGATTTCAAATGATTTCTAAGAAATTAAAAGAATTGAGAAATACAAAATAAACCTGCATGACCAAATTAAAGCACGATTATTTAACCATTCAACAATAGAGACTGGAGAAAATGTGTACTCTAAAATGTGGACAGGCAGTTGATGTAATTAATTACTTCTACCTTTGATAATGGTCTAATGGTCCATGCTATTTCCCAGGTTGCATTTCTCTGCTAGGGATGGAGGGAGGCGCGATAGTGGAGTCCCAGATTTCTGCTTCCTCTGTGCACTACGGCATTCTGGGTCTCCAGCGCTGGGGCCCGGAATTGGCTCGGCTCAACAACCAAGGCATCGTCAACGCCTGGACATCAGCCGCCCACGACAGGAACCCCTGGATCGAGGTGAGAGAAGACGGACTGAACACATTAACTAAAACATTGAGGTCACATTGACTGACCAGTGAGGAGCTATGAGGTTCACTGAAGCTACACTACTTGTCGTTGACTCCAGATTAATATGCAGAAGAAGATGCGTCTCACGGGCATCATCACTCAGGGTGCCAGTCGCATGGGCACGGCTGAGTACATCAAGGCCTTCAAGGTGGCGAGCAGCTTTGATGGAAACACTTACAGCACTTACAAAGGGGATGGCCAACGGATGGACAAGGTTAGACCCATATTAAATATAGTTTACAACAACAAACTTTCTTTTCAGCTTACTCACCTCATTTCCTGTGTCTGTTTGCTGCAGGTTTTTGTTGGCAACATAGATAACGACAGCACAAAGACCAACCTTTTTGACCCTCCAATCGTGGCCCAGTACATCCGCATCATCCCTGTGGTTTGCCGCAGGGCCTGCACACTGCGCATGGAGCTGGTGGGCTGTGAACTCAATGGTAAACACACTGATAACATTCAGTAGAATTCTAATGCACACAAGTTCAGGAACTTGGCAGACAGAAACAGCGGTTAAAAAACAGATTTGAAGTTAATGAAAAAGTGCAGATGGCCTACAGTAGGGTTGACTCAAAATTATAGTTTCTATTTTGAGTGAAGGTTGTTGATTTCTTCTTACTGCAATCTTGCTGTCCATCATAATGACAATCAAAGATTTTATTTCTACTGCATAACATCTTGACGAGGTTAGGCCACATAGAAAATGTGTAGTATAAGCATTTGTAGCTCTTTGCACTTTATTGCATGCCTTCTTCTACTTTGTGTGCCTCTCTCTTTGGTCACTGGTGGGTGTAAAAATAATTCTAATCAGTTGCACGCTCTGTGACTCTTCCTAATTTTCTGTAAAAATGGTGGGTGAATTTGATTTGGTCTTTTCTTTGGGTATCTTCATTTGTCATTTCCCCCTCTTTCTCGCTCTTTCTCCTTCTGTCGCTTTCCCTCCCTCCCTCCGTCTTTCCACCTGCTTTCGATTCACAGTTTATTCAAACACGGCAGGTTGCTCAGAGCCTCTTGGGATGAAGTCTCGCCTCATCTCAGACGGGCAGCTTTCAGCCTCCAGCTCTTTCCGCACGTGGGGCATTGATACCTTCACGTGGCACCCTCAGTTTGCCCGACTGGACAAGCAGGGAAAGACAAACGCCTGGTCTCCTGCCCACAACAACCGTTCAGAATGGATCCAGGTGAGAGAAATGTCATCACTGGTGAAATGTCCCTTGACACCACCAGATGTTGCAGAGTATAACTGTTTTCTTTGTTGCTTCTCCAGGTCGATCTAGAGAAGACAAAGCGCCTCACGGGCATCATCACTCAGGGGGCGAGGGACTTTGGGGTGGTGCAGTTTGTGTCAGTGTTTAAAGTTGCTTACAGTAACGATGAAGAGTCGTGGAGTATGGTGAAGGACGAGAACACTGGCAATGATAAGGTCAGACATACATGTATATAAAATGTCTTTCCCTAATTCAGTATACTGAATATGTATGTCTTAGTAAATGAGTCTGATTTCAATTCAATAAGAGGTTTTCAAAAAGTAAAGTGTTATTGTTTTTGGTCTATCTCTTAAGAATGTAGTCTTTAAAAAAGTAATTCACAAAAAAAAAAAAAGTCCAGAAAGTCATACATAATTATCAGCCTGTCAGCATCCCTTTCTGTTTCTCTCTTTTCCTTTGTGATGTGATATATTTTTGTAGTTGTGAGTTGTAAGGGCCCGTTCTCCTTACAGCAGCCTCTTTCTCTGAGAGGATCAGGAAATATTTTTTCTTCTGTCCTTTACTAGAGCATTTTGGCTACAGTGGCTGGACCCACATGACCCAATAAAACTGTAAAACATGCTTTGATGTTTTTACTGAGCTACCAGGCTCTTGACTTAATGATGCTGCCCGGGGCTTTGTCTGAATGCTCTGAACGTCTGGGTGGGGCTGGCAGGATCTGAGCTGTCCAGTTGTCAGAAAGCAGCACAGCTCGGTTTGATTAACAGCCACAGAGGACGATTGGTCATTAAGGCGTTTGGTGGTCGTAATCACCCAAAGAACATTGCAGTATCATGAAAATGCGCAGGTTCAGCTTGGTTGTGCTATTATGTTAGTTAGTGAGATGAACATTTATATACGATAACATTTGCTCGGTAAGTAATTATTTTACTTTAACCATAAACTTACTGTTTATTTGCAGCTTTTCCAAGGCAACATTGACAACAACACCCATAAGAAGAATCTATTTGAGCCTCCGTTCTACGCCCGATATGTTCGAGTCGTCCCCTGGGAGTGGCACGAGCGCATCGCTCTACGCATGGAGCTGCTGGGCTGTGACGACTAGAAACTCATCAACAACCTTTTATCGATGCTCCATCCTCATCCACCTGCTCCATCTCCTCAGACCGCAGCGGAGAATGGCTCTCGAACAAAATCGTCTGTTTTGTATTCCATGGAGATCGTGTTAGCTTGGACTTTAACACTTGTAGCACTTTCTGACTAGAGATCTTTTTATGTTTATGTTAATAAAATTGTTTGACATTGCAGCTTGTAAATGTAGCTCATGGAGAGTCCTCTATTGTTTCGACACACAGAATTTGCACAGATTTGCTCTTAGTCTCTATTATTTGTTCATTCTCAGAATCCAAATTGATTGATTGAAATCTGCAGACTTGATAATAGTGTTCCTCACCTCTTCAGTTGTACTCCAAGCTAACCTACTTTTGCAGCCCCACACCAGGAAATAATCCTGTTACTTTTTTTGTAGTTTTAACAGTCTGCAGAGGACACATCCTCACTAGCATACTCACTGTATCTCACTATGTCTATTATCCAACTGCTGTTTTGTTACTCTAGCACAAAACAGAATAATAACACAGGACATGTGCAATATATTGTATATTTTGGCATTTCCAATTGTCTGGGAAGAGAAAATATGTCCAGGAGTAGAAAATTTAAATTTTCAAATTGGATCTGCAGCACACTTATTGTGTCAATCAAATGATTGAAAGAAAAAATGTAGGGATTTTTGCATTAAATTTTTCATGTGATATCTGTTTTTTACCCATTTTAACAGGTTTGTCTGCTTCATTCTTGCATATAATTTCATTATAATTTAATCCTTTTTACAACAAATGTGAAATATGTAGAAAATAAACATTATTTTACATTTTTTAAAATTCATTGTTGGTCTTGAACTGAGATCATTTATTAAATGTTAAAAGAAATCTGTGTGTTTATTTTCAATCACACACACACACAACACACACACAAAACATGCCTCTGCTACGCTTTAGTATGAGCTGTTATACTGTACGTCGCCAGTTATGTTACAGTTTTCTTTCCACTGCTGGCCATAGCGTTCAGTGTGGTCAGACAATGTCCATGTCTGAGTGAGTGTTGGTGGCTCAGTTTTGCATGGACTGGTCAGTGAGGCTAGATACAATCATTGAGGCATGAAGGAGAGGAGCATGCCTCTTAAAAAGTACTGACTCTGGCCATCTGCATTATTCAGGTGGTGATATAATCCAGAAAGTAGACTTTGTTTTTGCCGTCAAAAAGTTAACATGAAAGGGAGCTACAGCAGGATTTCGTATTTGACTAGAAGCTCGCAGACAAAACAGAATTAAACATTTTACCTGCTGTCACTTGCATTTTGCTTTCCTGCACAAACTTCCCCAAAACACAAAGATGTTATGAGTCTTCTCCACACTGGACTACCAGGCTTCAGCCTGCTGTTTACGAGAGTAATTACACCCTGTTAGCCCCTCATCTCCCTGCTAAGCTCGCAGTTCTGGTATGCTTGGCCCCTGGCAACAGCTTTCATCTCTATGAAATGAATGCAGTGGAGGACGGAGCATCTCTGTCCTCACAGTGTATGTCTATGCCTACTGTATGTAGATGTGTATTTTGTGTATGTTTTCCTGCAGGGCCTCCTATAAAACATCCAGGAAAACACAGCTGCAAGCTGGTGTAATGAGGGGACCCTCTGCAAGAACATCTGCTTTCAAAGAGTTCAGGAGGGATGCAAAGGAGTTGTCACCCAAGATACTTCTCCACAAACAGCCTATTTCTTATGGTTCGGCCTACTGGGATTTTTTAAAGTCATTGTAACTTACGTTTGAGAACTAAAACAACTGGTCGGTGCTTTCAGAAAGTAATTCACTCAGTGCATATAACATGCTTTGCAGAATAAAATCATAATTATACTGAATTTCAGATTGACCTGAAAGCAGATTTAGCAACATATAGTGTATGTTGTTCAGCGAGAAAAAAACTGAAGGGTTTAGTAGAATAGATAACATGATGATTAGGTTGAGATTCAAATGGATAGTAAGCCTTTCAGTAAAATAATTTTACAAAAAAAATCCAATCTTTGAATTTTCTGTAGTTCTACAGACAATACTGGAGAACTGGGAAAATACATTATACAAGATACACATACAAGATTTCACTGTAAAAAGAAACTCGAGGGAAAATAGGTATGGAAATAATTATACAAAAAATTACAGCATTTCTTTAGGCTGATGAAAACTGAGTTGAGACAGAACAAGAACTGAGAAAGGACAGAGCAACAGGTGGGGATTTGGAGAATTTGCATGCGTAGATATAAAAACTGAAATTGACAATGCATTGACAGGAAATTATTAACTATTATTGGAGCGATTACTACTCCTCCCTCCACTCACTGGCTGCAGAAACACACACAGAGAGGTTTCCAGTCCAACAGGCTGAGCTGCTGTTGCGATTGTAGTGACGGAGCAGCATCACAGTCCTGCTCCTCTTCAGGGAGATTAACTGTTTTATCATTAATAAGGACTGGAGAAGACTACACCTGTACTTGTAGTTTAGCTGTGTACACCTGTATTTGATGCTTTTTGTTCATTAACCACCGTGTTCTCTTGGAGACGCTCATTTGTCCCCCACATGCTCCTGCACATCTTTTTTACTTTGGCTTCTTTGATTTGGAGGCGCTGAAAGCACGCGAGCAGAAAAATCAGAGGTAAGTGAAGAAAGTAGCAAACGTAATAACGGTGGTGTCAAATGTCTGTGCTCTTCATTATGTGACTTTATCAGTCAAATTAACTTCTTAAATTTGCTTAACGATTTTGAGGTTTATCAGAACGTTTGAATCTATTTTTGTTTGTTCTCACCTGGCGTCCAGGTGAATTATGTTCCTCCACGTAGGCTGCCAATTGTCACAGGTGACGCACTTCGTACATATCTGTACTAGCTAAGGATACACAGAGGAAAATATATGCTCTTACAACTGAAATAGTAGCAAACAGCCTGCCTACAATGTGGTAAAAAAAAAAAAAAAAAAACTGCTTATACTTTGATATGTTTTAAATTAGTCATGAGAAGTTACAGCTTTGTTGCACACTTGCAGAAATATTATATTCAGTGACTTGTGAAGGGAAGTGGCACTATAACAATAGCATACTAACACTGTCTTGTCACAACGTCTCATGTTAAAAATACAGTAGATTCTGTTTTAATTGAAAACGCGTTAAGAAATAATATGAAAATACAGTCATACAGAAGGAATTCTTGTATTGTGCTTTTAGGACCTGACCAGGTTTCTCTCCACAGGTTGGAGGATTGCACAGAGACAGTTAAGGACCAGGATTGGTCATCAAAGCCTGGATGATGATGATTTGTTGCCTCCAGACTCTGCTGTTGTTGGGGGCTCCACTGGTTCTCTCAGGCAGGGTCCTGACTGCCCCCACAGCCCCAAACAATTTCTTCTACCACAACTTCCTCAGTAGAAATGGCAGCAAACAAAGTATGCACATGATATATAGGCCCATCATATAAACAGGTGCAATGTGCGTTCCATATTTTAAAGCTCTGTTCTTAGATGTAATGTCTATATTTCCCACAGTTCATTTCAGTGGTGTGAAGCTCCATGTGGACTCTGCTCAGGCATCAGCGTTTGCAGTCAGAGGGGGTAATGTCACTCTGCCATGCAGGTTTTGGTATGAGCCTGAGTTGAGTTCACCAAGAGAGGTCAGGATCAAGTGGTCCTGGCTCCCTGCTGCTGGGGGACATGAGACAGACGTGCTGCTGGCGATCAGCCCCCACAGTCGAAGCTTTGGGGAATTCAGGTTGTTGAAAGGACAAATTAATTAATGATGGTCATTTTCTCGTATCAGTGGCTGTATGACCTTGTTTGTCTTTACCTCTAAGTCACAGTATGTCTGTTGGTCAGGGGTCGTGTGCAGCTCAGACAGGATTTCCCAGGAGATGCAGCACTGTTGATGACTGAACTCCAGTTGAATGACACGGGCCGTTACCACTGCGAAGTGGTGGACGGACTGGAGGACAAGAGCGTTTCAATTGATCTGGAGTTACGAGGTACAACCAGTTGCTGGATAATGTTACGTGTCTTATATGAACAAATGTAAAACTTTCAGCCTTCAAGAGGATGTATTAAGAGAGTCTGTGATACATCCATGACCTTTCACCTCACAGTATCTTTGCCTTACAGAACCTCAGAACCTCCCTTAAACTGCTGAGATATGGTGTAGTCAAACTATCATAGGTGAAAACCTTCCAATCCTTTTACCTGTCTGTGCCCAGGGACCCATTTTCTCATACTAGTGGTAGTATTACTAATGATAGATGTACTAGTGGTAGCAGCAAAAGAAGTAGTACAGAGTAGATGTTTTAGCATGTACTAAATACTAGCAGTAATAACACACATATTTTTAAGTGAACCTATTACTATCTATTGTTGTACTTCGAAGGCCACATATTTTGTGTAAGCTGTTTAATTAATTCCTCCACCCAGGTGTGGTGTTTCCCTACCAACACCCTCATGGTCGTTACCACCTGAGCTTCCAGGGAGCCCAGCAGGTCTGTGAGGAGCAGGACTCCACACTGGCCACCTTCACACAGCTCTTCCAGTCCTGGAAGGAGGGCCTGAACTGGTGCAATGCAGGCTGGCTGGCTGACGGAACAGTCCAGTACCCCATCACCCAGCCCAGGGTGCCCTGCGGAGGGCACGGCCTCGCCCCAGGTGTTCGGAGCTATGGCAGACGGCACCTGCACCTTCATCGCTACGATGTCTTCTGCTTCTCCTCTTCGCTCAGAGGTGAGGTGGCTTTTTAGGAAGTGGAAGGTGGTGAGAGACCAACAGAGTCACAGGTTCAAAATCTGCTTTTAAAAAAGGCCTTCTTCACAGCAGGTTGGCAGTTTGACTTGTCATAATAGGAAAAGCACAGGTGTTACTAATAGCACTAACGCTGGCTTTATTCAAGCGTCCCAGTGAGTCATGTGACAGTGAGACAGCCAGAGCTGTTAAATGGAATTCAGCGGTCATTAGTTTTATTATTTACACCTGTGCTATGTCTCTTGATTGCTGTGAAAGAGCAACACCCTCCCTGTGGTCCCTTCACAGCAGCCAGTATCAAGCTTCATTAAATCTGCAATGACCTCAGCTCAACAGTGAGCAATTAGATAGCAATGTTAATTAACTATGAGCTTCGGGACATCTAACACAAAGAAATGAAATTAGTAATTCACACTATAATCACTGAACATTTTCCCAAATGTCATACACATTACAATAGTTCAAGGCTAACAGTTACAACATACAGAACTAAAATACGTAAATACTTTCTTTAATGTCAAGGCTTTAGGTGATGATGTCTTCATGAGTTCATGATCTAAAACAGCCACCATACAAATAAATCTAATAACAGAATAATAAAAAATCTCTACTAGCCAAATTGTTTAAGAGCCTGATTTAATGTGCAGAAAGATCTTTTAATAGCTAAATAAATGTGTTTCCTTCAAAGGGAGGGTTTACTATCTTCAGCCCTCTCACAAGATGAACCTGACTGAGGCTGAGCAGGCGTGTCAGCGGGACGGAGCAGAGATCGCCAAAGTTGGACAGCTCTACGCTGCCTGGAAGTTCACAGGGTTGGACCACTGTGACGCCGGCTGGCTGGCTGATGGAAGCGTTCGCTATGCCATCACCAGGCCACGCCAAAACTGTGGCCCCTCTGAACCAGGGGTCCGCAGCTTTGGCTTCCCGCCTCCACAACACAAGCATGGAGTCTACTGCTACAAGTCAGATTATGAATGAATATAGATCTCCACAGCTCCTCTGTTGGGTTGGAAATGTAAAGTTGACACACTATGTATCCTTCTGTGATTCACAAATACTTTGTAAACCAGTGGTTCCCAGCCTGGGTGTCGACGCCACTCCATGGAGTTAGAAGAAAAATCTGAGGGGTCATGAGATGAGCAGAAGAGGAAAGCAGAAAAAATGACTCAAAATAACATTTACTTTTTCTTCCTCATGCCTCTAGAAAACAATGAAAACTTTTCTTTATCTGGTTATAGACAGTGGTGATGGCTAAAAAAGTAGATATTGCTTTACTCTTTTCTTACTCTGGTGTATTATTTGCCTTTACTGGACAGAATGACAATGAAGGTACAGATAGGAAACATGGGGAGAGAGCGGTATGTCATTCAATAAAGTACCCTGACTGTAAATCAAACCAGGGATACTGCAGTTACACGGTATAACACTAGGCCAACAGGAAGCCTCAACATTGCTTCTTCTAATAGATTGAAAAGGTTTGGAACCACTGCTCTTATTGTACTTTATTATGAGTGCATTATCTGTATATTTTTCATTTTGAACATGAGAGCAAAACATTTACTGTGATGTAGTCTCACCATTTATGGTATACACTGTTGAAATTAGCATTTGCAAAATAGCATTTGTACATGAAACTTGAAAGTCTATTCGCTGATTAAAGCCACGTTATTCAAACAAAGCTAGCAAGTGGATTTTGAGTTGAGATTATTGTGTTACTGATACTTCTGCTGTATAATGTACCTCAGTTGATTTTCACATTAAGGAAGGTGTTGGCTGATCTTTTTTTTTTATTTTTTACATTACTGGGATTGTAACTTGTTTTTGTATAACAAATGTCTTTCCTAATCATTAAAATCCTTGTACAGAAACTTCATGTCTCTCTCTCCGCACGGAAATGGATCACCCACATAAAAAATAAGTTGGACAACACAGCCATCTTAACCTAGACAACTACGAAAGAGAAAAACCTGCATTCAAAACTGAAAACACAATACATGGTCGAAAGCCAATACATGTAAGTCCTTTATTTGAATAAAAAAAAAAACAATTCACAACATAGGCTTAACAAACAGCAGCTTAATTTGTTTTATCTATTTAAGACACACTAGGCCAAGTATTTGTAGTGTCCAGCTCTGAGATCATTTCTCCAGCTGTATCTGAGGTAGGCTGAGCAGTCTCCCTTATTAACCATACAGTACATCTCTCGGCCTTGTATCAAACGTACAGGTCTTAACATCATGTAAATTTATTTTGACCAAACGCTTCATAGACATTCTCATTTATAACTACTTTAACCCACAATGTGTGTTTCAGTACAGAATAGTGCTCCATAAAAAGGAAACACTGAATTCACTCTTTGGTTGGAGGTATTCTGAGTATGGGAAAAGTGGACAGTAGCAGCACATTGGACAAAAGAATATTCATACGATTCTCAGTTGAGTTCAGTCGAACCTTTTCATCCTCATTTCTTCAGGAGCCACGCAAAATCTACGTGAAGTAGGTCATTTGAGTTGATTAATATAATGATTTAAAATGAATGTGAGAGGACATTATGCCATATTGTAAATCGTTGTTTGTATGTTGCCAATTTGGTGAAACGGGCCCCAGAAGGCAATGGCGCATCTCAACTGAGTGAGTAATAATAAAGCTTCACCAGAGCTTGTAAAAATAATCCAGTTTTTCACCTCCACTGAAGACGCAGTGGGCTGACACAAAGATACTGTCCAGAATAAAAATAGAAGATACTGAAACTCTGCTTCTCGAAACTTTCCAATACAACATTATACAAAAAAACTCATTTTGTTTGTGTGTATAAACACTTTTCTAATCAAACTCAGCTTCAAAGAGAACTCTCTCAATTTTCAACCTGACCTCTGCCTTTTTCTTAGGGGACAACTTCTTAAACAACTTCACAAGGTTCATGAAGTAGAATTCATCACAATCTTGTGGTTTTTCGATGTTTGTCTGCACAGTTTGGTCACATTTAGAAGAGTGTGGTTCTGCACACGCTTCTTGGCTGCTCTGCTCATCTGAATCTGGGTTGATGGTGATGTTATCACTGTCATCGCTCTCCTGTGAAGACAACACAATTTTTTTTGACCGGCATACAAATTGTAGAGCTCAATGACAGGCATTATTACATATATAATTAAAGTGACTTGGGTTTTAGGTAATATGATGTACAATTTGCAACAGATAAGACAACATCCAAAGCTGGTTCTGCCCTGATTAGCATTCAAAGAGCATCTTTAAAACACTTGCAATAAAAATGGCCATTCTTAAATGTTTGCAGATCAATTATGGCAAGTTTACTTAATCATGTGCCAAGTGTTCTGTAGTAGGAGGATTTTTTCTCCAGATATCTTTGTTTCTCAAGGACATCTGAACAAACAGTTTCATCAAGTGATTTTAAAATATGGTGCTAATAGTACAAATTGACATAGGAAAACTAGAAAAAGTTTGACCAAATGAGGAGTTTAATTAATTCCCAAGATTTACATTACCACCCACAATTTGGATCCCTGTAGGTGCACCTACATTTTCTTTGTGTGACATAATATTAATGCACTTGATCACAGCCTTACTTCTTCATATGAAGGGAAGTCAATCTCTCCAGTGGTCAGTGATGGAGCACTCCGTCCTTTGGTTTGGACTCTTTGTGTCATCTCTTCCTGTAGTTGGGATGATTTCTGGGTTCTCAGCTGTTGGGCCTGGCTGCACAATGGTAAATGATTGTTGAAATCTCTACTTCTTATCAATGTGGCTGAGCAGTACAAACAGTGGTAATGTTGCCGTCTCCTGCACCCCTGTCCGCATCTGTGGATCGTATATTCTGAAATATGAAAAACAGAGTTAATTATCAGTGAATCATTTAGCTGAAGCCAATCCGATATATGCAGAACAGAGGATGTAAAAACCTTACCTCCAACAAAAAAGGCTTTCTTCAGATGTTTGCTCAAATGAAGTCTAACTCTGCAGAGTTTTGTGGGTTTGAAATACACTGGTAAACAAAATGGACAATGAAATTTGCCTGGAGAGCAGCAATTGTAGCATTTTTTCAGGGGAGGAATGAATAGTCCCTTTTGGATAGACACATGACTCTGGAAAGTGTACAAAAAAAGAAAGAAATTAGTTATAAAGCAGATAAATCAACAGTGACATATGTTTACTGGAGTGTAGTTGTCCGCTCGTTTCAAATGTGAGTTATTTGTAGTAGAGACAGGAGTGTGATGTGAAAGTTTGCGTGCTGGGCAAAAGGACAAGAGGAACAACAACTAAAAGAAAAATAAGCACGGCAATGCAGGAATGTTAGTGGCTATCACTCGGCTAGCCTAGCTAACTCTTTAAAAAGCTGCTCATCTGTTGTGATGTTTCTGTCGTGGAACATGTTTTACTTTGACGTTTCTTTGAGATTACAGTTATTTCCTCGGGTCTCCTAACCAATTGTTCTTGAGAGTAGACAATAACAAATGCACATTATCATGGTTGGCGTTTGTTAGCTGGAAGTTAGCTAGTAGCAAAGACAATTACTTGGCTAATAGCTTGTTAAATCACGGACAAGCGGACAGCTCTTCTGAGGTGTTTGGTTCAAGAACACATACCAGTTACATCTGATTTCTGTCACAATTATAAGAAGGTAATTCTTAATTCGTTCACATAGTTTCTTACTTCTTGCTGTTGAACATTGTTCATCCTTTCCGAAGAAAACTTTTTTTCTTTCTCTCTCTCTCGCTCGCTCTTCTTCTTCTTCTTTTAGCATTCATTGGCGGTTGGCAGCCAACAGGTACATTACCGCCACCTACTGGCCATGTATAGACAGAGAGGGTTTTATTTATTTAAAAACAAGATTTAATTAAGTAAAAGTACCAATAGCACACTGATAACAAGCAAAGTCCTGCATTAGATTGTTATTACTGATGCATATGTGCAATCAGCATTTTACTGTAGTAGATTTAACTGCTATTGTAACCAGGGGCGTAGCCAGACATTGTAAACATTTGGGGCTTAGCTCCAACTTCAGTCCAGAGCCCTTGAATAGAAATCAAAATCAACATTTGTGAACCTATAAAATAAATCTGCATGAGAAATTCAATTTTGTGCATGTGAAAAAACTCTGCTTGTGTCGAAGAGATTTGTATTTGTTAAAAAGTCTGTCTCCAAACTATGAAAAAATTATCAGTGTTGAGGTTAAACAAAGACACTGTAAAAGAAGTACATACAGTCTCATTTCATCACTGCATATTAATACGATTCAGAGAAATTATTTACCATAAAGTCCAAGTTTTTCTCCTTTGTAAGTTCTCCAGCTTTAACAGATATCACATTTAGTGGGTGTAGCATAAAATCTCTAGACTGAAGCTAACACTGAAAATTGATGCTAGGAAGCACAGACAAACTTCTAGACACAATTATGTTTTTGTTGTTTTTGTCCACCTACACTAAAGCCAATATTACTACCAGTACTCCAACTGTATATCTGTGTATCTATACTACTATCTATCTACCTGATCTAATGAGATTTTCTTTTTCAAAATCAACCACATGACAAGATCATTTTTGTTTTTATGATAAAAAACATTTGAAACTTCCCTGAATTCTTATTCTTTCATTTTTTGTCTTTCCTAATCATTCATTACAACTCAGGATTGAGCCAGATTTAATAAACTGTATAGTGTACAGGATAAAACTTCTGTAACAGGTTTAATCACAGCCACCAGATGGCAGTCAGATGTTTGGGTGCTTTCAGTCACAGTCATAAGAGCAGAACACAATGTGCAGTAACTATTAAACAGCATCAACTCTCTCAGTTATATTACAAATACACAACCTTAAAAAAAGAAACTTAAGGTTTTGGATCCCTATCAGCACTTGTTGCTATGTGACTCCTGATTTAAGTCACAACCACACAGCCAGACTGGTAGCCTGGGGAGAAGATTTCCTAGATATCCTGAACTCACTGTGAACAAACTCCAGTCATGCAGAAAATACAGCATGTATGGAAATACAATCAGATAAAACATGAAGAATGCAGGATGACACAAATGTGACTGCTAGAAGCCTGAGGTGAAATGAGACACCTGAGCAGTGAGGAGGGGTGAAAAAAAGCAGAGAAGAACACAGTGTACAGTCAGTGAAGTATGTTCACAGACCCCGCAGTATCTCTCACGTTTATGAGACATTTATGAGTGGGACAGTGCATTATTTGCTGTGCAGCTGATTCAGCATCTCAGGTCGCAGGTGACAAAATCTTCACCTGCAAAACAAATTTCAGTACTGTGAATCTCTGCAAATGTATTTAGATACGTTAATTACACTAAACGGTCGTATAGACAGAAGAAACAGCTGTATTAGCAGTAAAGAAGTTTCATGTGACAAGTTAACACAACATTGGGTTATTATATATAAGTGTATATAAAAATAAAACTGCCCAGTGGAATCACAACAACTGACGTTCGTGAAAAGGAAGAAGATTCATGCACTGACCCCCACGCCCATGACTTAAAGTGCGTGACACAATATTTGCGTGAGTGGAAACATCTGAAAAAGCAACGAGCAGACAGCATCATTTTAGAGCGGCATAGTCATGTGTATAAATGGTCCAAAAAACTGAAACAAATTGAAAGCCTGTGATTACGTGATCAAACATTGGAACATAAAAAGTACTTTTAGCTTCATCTTGCATGAATCCTGTTATTACTTCAAAAAAACAATAGTATTGTGTTGATTTTTACACTCTGAGTTTATAATTACTCTTTTGTTCTGCCATGTTAGGGCCACTGGTAGATTGTATGTATTTCCATTTTACACTGCTCGTGTATAAATTATATACTTGCACTTACCGTTTTATGTCAATTATACTTGTGCTATTTCAGAAAGAATTAGAGTATATCTGATAGCTATACTTTTCAGATTAACATTGTACATATAAGGTTATAAAATATATTATAATTATATAATCATATAATTATATAACACTGATAGGTGCCATTCACTTTTTGACATGATACCTCCATATTTTCTATATAGATTTAAAAGTTTTTATTAAATTTATTAAGACATGACTTTTACTTTTAATGATGTATTTTTACATGGTAGTATTGCTACTTTTACCAAAGTAAAGGTTCTGAGTACTTCTTTCACCATTAGTTAGCGCATGAGAAATAAAAGGCCTAGTTTACTTGATAGATGAATGCATTGCATCTTTGATGACACGCAAATTCATGAAGCTTTCCTCATTTTTCATTAAAATATTAATTTTTGTCCAGACTCTAATGGAACAGCGCCCCCACCGCCGGCGGCGCTGCCGGGAACTGCAGCGGCAGGAGTCAGTGTCTGTTACAAACTGCATCATTCTGAAGTAATTATATGACTAAACGAGCTGCTCTTAAAAATCAACGACTGTTAATAAAAACTACACGTCACACAGACAAAGGAACGGTAAGTGAAATAAATGAACTTAAAACTACTTACCTTTTCCGCGGGGTCGGAGCTTTGGAGCCGTCTGGTCTCCAGTTTGTCTACAGCGGGGGCGAGAGCCGGTCCAGCGCAGGAGAGCGTCATCCACACCGGGGAGCGGACGGAGGTGTTCCCAAATCCACCACCATCTCAGCCCAGCCTCACACGGGAACCTCGCCCGAAAACCCGCTGCCTGTCCTCTGCCTCTGGTAGCAGCGTCCTCCAGGCTCGGCTCCCCGCGCACTCTGCTCCTCTCTGGGCCACACAGGTGCAGCCACCCGCTCTCTCATCATCCCAGGTGCAATCACTCACTGTCATCAGCTCCACGCGCTGTTTCAACTCATTTTCTGCTCTAAAACTATTGAAACGTGTTATTTTTTCTTCAAAACTCCTGTTCACGTCTTGACCCTCGGTCAGACCCTGGTCCTCATGACCCAGCCTCTCCGGTTCAGCCGGACTCGTGCTCACCTCCAGTAATTGACTAAAACTCGTGTAGAAACCTCCTCATCTCCTGTAGAGAGTGTGACTCCGTGTCACGTTAGAAACAATCTGTGGTCGTTATATATCTGTTGTGTTTCTGTGTGAACAATTGAGACTATTTATTTTTTCTGTATTTTCAGTGATTATCAGCTGTTCTTTCTCTGTGTGAAGGACCACAGCGCTAACTACCGGACGAACTACACGTGACACTGAAGTAAAATGTCACAACACACCTTTTTTTTCTTTTTTCTTTTTTTTCTTTTTTTTTTTTTCTTTTATGTCACAACACAACTCAAATCTGAAAGTGACTTCCGGTGACGTGCTTCTAAATAACAGCCCCAGTGTGCTGCTGGAGAACAACAGAACAGATAATATTATTGATAACACCATTAACATTTCTGGGAAATTCTATTATTATTTCCAGTATATCAAACAGTCTGAGCTTAAATACAACAGTATACAGATGCTCTGGGTCTCTCCCTCCCCAGAAGGTCAGCGGTTCGATACCCAGTTGTTACAAAACAGGAGAAAAGCTTGGGGTTGTTGCACAGTGTAATACAGGTCTTTGTAAATAATGTGGCCGCCTGATAAACATAGAACAGATGTATTATCTCCCAGACGTTGACAGAGGAAAAACCAAGATTAAGTGTCTGAGTGGAGTTGTTGTTAAACTGGACTGAGATCATGTGACTATGAAGGAACCAGCTGGTGACTGAGTTCTGTCATTAACATGAATAATTACTGACATGTTTATGTTGACTTTTTAATGTTTTGACCTTTGAACCCTGACAGTGTGACTTTCATGAGCCATCCATGTTGTCTTGTTAGTGTTCCAGCTACATGTTGTCCTCATGTTTACATGTTACATAATGTAAATAAATCATAAATAATAAAGCTTTCAAACAAAGTGCAGAGTGAACTATTTACTTTTTATTTATTTGAAGATTTTAAAAACAACAAACAGAAGAACACTGGCAGAAATGATAGATATGTAAGAAAGAAAAAAGTCCCACAAGTCCTCTTCTCTTTGGAGGGGTATCCGGCCTGAAGACGGCGGGGACCTCAACGTCCTGCAGGCATGGTCCGGGTGGCAGGGGCAGGCTGTGGCCTCCCACCCACTCAGGGTGCCTTCAGCATCAGTGTGGCGTTTTGACATCTCTGGAAGTTTGTATTTTCCAAAAGAGCAAATGAACATCAGCAGAGTGGTTTACTACAGTGACACAGAACATGAGAGAGACATGTCATATTATTATATTAATGCAACTGGTGTGTGAAAACATTTCTTTTTAAGGAATGAAGCAGTTTGAGTCTGTAACAGAGCAGAGGAGGACATGAGATCAAGGTGTTACTGCTCAGTTCTCTCTGCATGACATATAAATACATATTCATACACAGTATATATATGTTTACACACAGATGTTCTGACATGTTTTATATCTATAATCGACATCAGCTGCTTGAGCAGCATGATCACTGACATATGTATGAATGACAAAAGCCTAATTTTCCCGCCTCAACATGAAAAATTAAAGTAAAAGCAGCAAACAGCATTAGCACTGTAGCACTATACAGACCGACTGACAGCGGTGTGTTAGCATCATGTTTTTAGCCTAAAAGACAGGTTAAACAACATGAATGTTAGCTGGCTAGCTCACAACAAATACAAATACTGTTTATCACGAATTCCACAACTTTCCCGGGTTTTGGAAGAATTGGAACAAATGCAGCAAGGTGATTGGGGGAGGCGGGACATCGCTGAGGACAGCCATTGGTTCAGAAGTTGGAACAATTGGAACATACAAGAACTTCCGGAGGGAGGGTTTAACCACAACATTGATATTCTAGGTATTTGTTTAGCTATTGGCACCATCAGACATGTTTAAGCTACAGAAGTGCTACTAAAACAGCTTGGTTCAAACTTAAAGGACGCACCTGATCTGATGTGTGCTAGGCTGCAGTAGCTGAGCTGTTGTATTAGGATATGGGGTAATAAATTACATTTAACAAGCCAAATCTCAGTCAAAACAGACAGCAGATTCACAGAAAAGGTCTTCTCCATCTAATCTAGTTAAAGCATGAAAAACATAATGCGGTTTACATGTTACGCTTTCGAGAAGTTCTTTCAGTACTAAGAATTTCCCAGTGTGTTTTAAAGGTGATGCTATTGTCTGATGCTGTATCACATGCTGGTCAAATGTGAAGACACGGGGTTGGTTGAAGCAGTTCATCTGGCTTGTAAGGCTTGCAGATATCAACCTATTCTTACAGCTCCAGTAGAAGCGGAGAAGATTATTTATCACAGCTCGACCCCCTCGAAACATTATTACCAGTTTCAATCTTTGCATATTAAGACTCTTGTGCAGTGTTTTGTAGGTTTCAAGAAACTCAAGAAAATCACAGTCCAAGGCTGCAAACTGGCACAATGAAGTAGTCAAACTATGAATAGAAATCTTACTAGCTGAACTGAATTCCACACTTGGCAACTTCCTCTTCATAGCTGAGGTTCTCGAGGATGTAAACCCCAACATAAGTAATATTTTGGTGTAACCTCAGGAAACTGTGTCATGGAGTCGGTTGGGAAGTTTCTAAACAAAACAGACAGAGGTCAGCTACAGGCTGGTGAAAGAAACACCACAATGATGTGAGTGAGTTATGAGATGTTATCTTTCGTTTCTCTGACAATAACATGAAGTGATTCCTATAGTGGCAGCTTTATCCTGTATATCATGTGTACATGGATGGGTATTGAGGTTAAGTGAGTAGTTGATAACACTGTTGGATGCATCTATGCATCTATACCCTCACACAGAAAATGAGTAAGGGGAAAAAATCTGACAGGTCATCAACACCATGCCTAGAATGCAATGTCACCCTTTACTTAACATGGGTCTGTTAAGATCCCATGAAGAGGCCCTGGTTCCTATAGATAACATAAGTTAAATGCTCCCAATAATAAACTGTGAATATCAACCCTCTTTTATGTTTTTCAACTGTCTTTCTTTGACTGTCTTATGAATATGTTGCTTTTTTTTCATAGCCTAGTGTTTTCCATCTGTTTGGTGATTTTACTTTATTTCATTTTATCTAAGTGGATTCGACAATATTATATCACCTGAGAATAAAGGTCTACTCTAGTCTCTTCTAATCAAGTCTGTGGCCTCAATTTATTCATCAAAGATTCAATGATGGGTTTAACCTCAAGAAAAAGTGGCACCAACACAATAATAAAAAAAGAAATACTAAATAATAGACCTGAAGGTACCTTTCAATACCTTAAATGATTTATGTGTTTATGTTAGCGCTCATTGGAGGACAGTTGTATTGGACTCCATTGGTTTTATCTCGGTGTATAGAGCCGCAGTTCTATTTCTACTTTTCTACTTCAGTAAAACTGAAAACTTTCCAGCTCTGTGTTTTTTTTATTTCTTTTTTTCTGCATTAAAAATTGCTTAGGGTTAAAATGCGGGGGATGGGTGGGCGGGGATTGAGTGGGCGGGGGTTGTGGTGTCACTCGCTCCTGATTGGTTATCATGGAGGTTTCATACAACTGGAGGTGTTTAAATAGCCAATCACGTCGCGGTCTCCAGTATGTGTAGTAGCGACTGAGACCTAAAGGTTCTTTCTCGGTGGAAGACCGCGTACGAGCGACGCCTCGTCTCTGCTCTTACCTTACAAACTCAACTCTGCTGCCATGGAGGAATCAAGTAGTTGACGTTTCCTGCTGCAACCTTCTCTTTTTTAAGCTTTCTTCCCGTCTGATCACTGACCTCCTGGACCGGTTTATTGAACTCTCTGCGACTCTTCTTACGATTTGACCAACCCACCCGAAATCATGAAGTATATCATTGGCATCGGCGGGTGAGTTCTGATCGATGAATGGCCATGGAAGCTACGCTAAGCTAAGCTAACCGGCTAACCAAGTCTATAGGCCCTGGAAGCCCGGCACACGTGGGGAAGGGCGGTCATGACATGCGTAAAATTGTTACTTCCCTTTTTTTGTGGTACTGTTAATGTAATTCAATAACCAGAACCAGACCTATCAATATGCATCCTATAGCTTCCGTAAACACTTAGCTTGATCCTCCAAGGTTAATCAATGCAGTCAATAAACAAAGCTATAGCTAATGGTTGCAGTAAACCCGCCATACATTCAGTTGACCCACCCTTTTTTTTTTTTTTTTTTTTTTTTACATGCTGCAGATATTATTGCTTGAAAATCCGTTAAATGTGTAAATTTCGTGTTAATGTGTAAATAAATGTTGCTGATGCTTTAAAACTGCTTGATTTTATATAAAACCCGTAATAAGTAAATGGTGTTATGGGAAATTAATAATAATTTAACAATACGTGACCTGTAAAATGTTAAATATTCCTGCTCTTTCACATGCATGATCCAAATTCAGTATTTTATTTGGCTGTTTATTCACTAATCTTTGAACATTTCTTATGTGGGTTTCATCATCCACTATTCATTGCCTTTTATTGCTTTGTTCCGTGCAGCGTAACCAATGGAGGGAAAACCACCCTCACCAACAGGCTGATCAAGAACCTGCCCAACTGTTGTGTGGTACATCAGGATGACTTCTTCAAGGTGAGCCACATGGAAACACACAAACACACACACACACACACACACACCTCCTTTTGAATTTTGTATTTAGTTAACCAAAGGGATTGCTCTGAGTAACACAAGTTGGTGGGGTGTTAACACTTTGCTGTCTGTGTTAGTAGATACAGTTTGAGCTTGTGTGTATAAACGCTATCAGAGCCTTCCATGTACCAGAGTGTAGCACTAGTGGAATGTACCTGGGTACATCTTATCAATGTATGTTTCAGCCCCAAGATCAGATTGAAGTTGGTGAAGATGGCTTTAAGCAGTATGATGGTAAGCCTGGGTTTTTATGGAAGCGTTTGTGTGGGTGTATGTGCTTGTTGTGTGCGAGTGTGTGCGCTCCCGCTGCAACATGACTTATTTGTAATCTGCATGCTATACAGT